AAACCTAAATTCATACGTAATCTTAAACTTTAGTCAACGCACAAACAGAATCGTAACGTAGTATGCTTTTGTTACGTTACAATTTTCTCTGTGCGTTGATTGAAGTTTAAGATTACGTACAAGTTTAAGTTTAGAATCAGTACTTAACGTAATGTAATGCATTACGGAAAAGCTTGTGCGTTGGCCCTCAGACTATGTATTGAAATTGAAATTTGACCAATCAGAACAAGGAAATTTTAATTCCTTTTATCCCGATTGGTCAAATTTCAATCTTCAATACGTAGTTTGATACTGGCTTTAAAGCCCGTATCAGACTAGGCATTGAAAATTGAAGATTGAAGATCAAAGATTGGAATTTGACTAATCAGAACAAAAGACACTAAAATTTCTTTATTCTGAATGAAGTATTTTCAATCTTGAATCTTGAATCTCAATCTTCAATGCGTAGTCTGATACGGGCTTAAAGTCATCACACACAAAATTCCGTAAGGACGTAAGCGTAAGAAAATCGACCAATTTCAATCGAGTATTTGGCTCTCCGTAACCCCTCCACTTTTATGGAAAGCCCGATACTCGATTGGGATTGGTCAATTTTCTTACGCTTACGTATTATATCCTTACGGAATTTTGTGTGATGGCCTTTAGTGCCGATCTACAATAGGCAATTTAAGCCCTAAACCTTATGACTTAACCTCTAAACTATGACGTATTTTCGACCTTAAACATTTCTCGCGCTGCCTTAAGCCCTAATCTCTAAGCCCTAAGCGAGTTGGCCAACTCCCATCTTTTAAAGCTTAGAGCTTGAGGCTAGGATCGATGTAATTTTTCTCTTAAAACAAAGGCTAAATCTTAAATCACCTATTGTAGACCGGCACTAATGCAATGTTTCAAACACATCTCTAGCGTCTCCCCGACCGCAAAGTCTTAGTGCCAGTCTACAATAGGTGATTTAAGCCCTAATGGCATCCTAAAAGTGAAACTTAAGGCCGTATTACACTACGGGTTGCGAGTTTAATTGCGGTTGAGGTTGAGGTTACGGTTGATATTTGCGGATTGACCAATCGGAGCAAAACAGCTTGCCGGCTGATTGGTCAATCCGCAACTGTCAACCGTAACCCCAATGAGTGCTTTCCATTTAGTGACTCAAGTCGACACAAGTATCATTCTATCTTCTTTCAATACCAGTGAACAACAAAGATAGAATGATGCTTGTGTCGACTTGAGTCACTAAATGGAAAGCACTCATTGGGGTTACGGTTGACAGTTGCGGATTGACCAATCAGCCGGCAAGCTGTTTTGCTCCGATTGGTCAATCCGCAAATATCAACCGTAACCTCAACCGCAATTAAACTCGCAACCCGTAGTGTAATACGGCCTTAAGTTTCACTTTTAGGATGCCATTACATGAAGCGCGGAAACGCGGATTAGCGTAACGCGGAACGGAAAGGGAACCAATCGCGAGCGTAACAAAAACTGCAGAATGGTCGCGATTGGTTCCACTCTCGTTCCGCGTTACGTTAATCCGCGTTTTCGCACTACATGTAATGGCACCCTTAGCGTTTTTGAATGAACGGGTTAACCCAACCCGGTTCAATTAATCACTATATTTTACTATAAATTCAAGTCTTTTATTGGCAGAGACGATGCAATGACGTCATTAATCGCTCTGAGAGCGATTAAACCTGCTACATTCAAAAACGCTATTTATTTCAAAGATACACAATCGATCCCCTGAAAGCTTATTACGGTTCTTGAAACGAGGTGAAAATTACAAAAACGAACAGATTTACTATATTTCGACAAATGAAAGTGTAGATACTCTAGGGAATTTCCCCATTTTTGTAAATGGGCGCGTTCAGGAGACACAACCGTTGAGCATCGTCTTGTCAACACTCGACGTTAATTTGTTGGTTCTAGAAGTAAGAACCAATCACGTTCGATTGCCACTCAACAGTTGTGTCTCCTGAACGCACCCATTTTCACTTCGTTTCAAAAACCGTAATAGGCTCCCAGGGTATCAATCATGTAACTTTTCCCCTAGGGCAAAAAGGTGAAAAATTTTACCATTGTTTTCAATGCTAATATTTTTCACTTTTCCGCCCTAGGGAAAAAGTTACATGATTGGTACCCTGGTGACATTTAATTGAACACATTGGATCTATTGGCCAGTTGAACACGAGATTCTCCGATTGGTAATTCGCGCTGGTTACCCTAGGCATCGATCGATATCAATGGTTGTGTCCAATCTCGCCGTATCCAATGAACATCTCCCGTTGCGATGGTCGCAACATCGTTCGAGATGGCACATTAAGCCCGTTCTACATTGATCGCATGTCGCCAGTCGCAAGCAAATCGACCAATCACAGTCGAATATTCGACGGAATAATCGACTGTGATTGGTCGATTTGCTTGCGACTGGCGACATGCGATCAATGTAGAACGGGCTTAATGTGCCATCTCGAACGATGTTGCGACTATCGCAACGGGAGATGTTCATTGGATACGGCGAGATTGGACACAACCATTGATATCGATCGATGCCTAGGGTAACCAGCGCGAATTATCAATCGGAGAGTCTCGTGTTCAACTGGCTAATAGATCCAATGTGTTCAATTAAATGTCACCAGGGTACCGATCATGTAACTTTTTCCCTAGGGCGGAAACGTGAAAAGTGAAAAATATTAGCATTGAAATCAATGGTAAAATTTTTCACTTTTTGTGTGTCGTGTGTCGGCTTAGAGACCGAGCGAGCGAGCGAGCTAGGCGAGAGCGCGTGCGGTGGTGGTGGTGGTGACGAGACTGGTGTGTGCCGTGGACGGACGACGGACGGACGGGTCGGTCGGTCGGTCGGTCGGTCGGTCGGTGGGTCGGTCGGCGGTCGGGACCGTGAGTGTTAGTTTGGAAGGACGAAGGAAGGAAGAGAAGAAGAAAAAAAGAAAAAAAATATATCTCAAGAGCCATGGAAAGCCATCATGTGGCGATGAGCTTGCCAGCATGAGAAAGACAGACGCCGAATTACAGGGAAGGAGAAGAAATATGTTCGCGCACACCAGCGGGCTTTGACAGTCGCATATACATATATTTAATACACGCACATCGCACGCTCGGTAAAGCTGCAAGAGACCGACGTATGCGTGTATGTACGTACGTGCACGTGCATGCGTGCATCATTCTAATGGAGCTGTAGTAGCGCCCTTACGCACCACACGCGCGCGCGTTGCAACACTCTCTCGCTACATATCTCTCTCTCTCTCTCTCTCGCTCGCTCGCTCTCACCGATCGCGCTCGCGGAGAGGGCGGGAGGATCGGAGAGAAGGTGGAGGAGCGCGAAGGAGCGAAAGACGAGCGAGCGAGTGCGAGCGCGAGCGCAAGTCGGGAAGCAGCGCGAACGTGCGGAAGAGC